AGAGGGAGATACAGAAATGTTTTTTTTTCTTCATTAATATTTATTGTGAGTGTCATATAATTCATGTCAGGGTCATTGTTATGTTTTCATAATGAAAGTTCAGGTATCGAAGCAGAGGCATTGATATCGAGCGATTGTCATTGAGCATGTGCGTGTATATATAGAGATATACTTGCAGTTACAGTGGTATATTTAAATGCACAAATGTAGATTTATTTACATTAATTTTGTTCTTTTAAAATTAATTGCATGCATTTGTACATATTTGTATCTGTCTGTGTATATCAGTTTGTGTTCGAGTGATACATATAGGAATCTAGTCATAAATATTTGTCTTGACCCACATAATTTTATCTCTAAACAGATACATATATATATATAAAGACACATATATATATTTATAGAGACACATATATAGTAATATAGACACATATGTACTCATACATATATATATATATATATATATATATATATATATATATATATATATTCCCAATATATGAATATTTATTTTTATATAGATATTTTCCCACAATATAGATTTTTTTTTCAGTTATAGTAATTAATATTGATGTAATCTTTTATATTTATGTAGGTGATCTATACTTAATATAGATTAGGCATATAAATATATTTCTAATCGAAATTTATGCATTTTCATTTATAGTAAACTGCTTAATTTTACTTCATTACATGGAATATGAATATTTATTAAATCTATATTATATATAAAACTAAGATACACAATAAAATTTATTCACTTGAGGAGATTGAGTCCACATTTTTCTATTAATTCCAAAATAACCCCACTTACCATAATCACTATATTATTATGTAATTGATTTCACATAATTAATTTTCAAATTTTATCTCTCCTACATGTCAAAATAGTGTCTTTTTATTGGTTATTGAGTTTCCTTTTTTAATCTATTTTTTTCATAATAAATACGTAAATATATAAATGGACACAATTCTTATTTTGGGTTAATTAAATTTTATACACAATATTATATTAATTGCAAAAAAACCCAAATTATCATAATCATCTATATTATTAATTAATTAATTTCACATTATTGATTTTCAAATTTTATCCCTCATACATGTCAAAATAGTGTCTTTTTATTGGTTCATGAGTTTTTTTAATAAACAATATTTTGATTTAAAAAACGTAGGACTTAATTGCAATTTTTATAATTTCACAATTGAGTAAATTTTATGCACAATATTATATTAATTGCAAAAAAACCCACTTACAAGAATCACCCATATTATTAATGAAATAATTCCACATTGTTGGTTTTCAAATTTTATCTCTCCTACATGTCAAAATAGTGTATTTTTATTGGTTAATGAACTTCTTTTTTTATAAACAATAAATATATAGATTAAAAAAACTTAGGACGTAAATGCAATTTTAATAATTTCACAATTGATTTGATTGGTTATTGATTTGAAAAAAACCTATGAGCTTTATTATATTTTCATTATTTTCACATATTATTATTTTCAAATTAATTTAGATAAAATAGGTAATTATATCAATTTACATTAATTACTTTATTTGTTACCTTTATTACATTTCCTAACTCTCCTATAAATTACCATTCAACACATTAACTTTCTTCAACTTTTCCACATACATTTTTTCTGTTTCGAAGATATGGAGAGAATTCTTGAAAAAGAATTGCATTGGTATCACCTACATGCAATGGTATATTCACTATAGTCCCTTTTGTTGTTTAACAATGAATTATTGTTTTATTTGTATTTGATTTCTTCATTCAATTCTATATGCAGCCTTTGAGTAATGCTTTTGTTGAAGCTTCTCTGTTGACAGGATTGTCTACTATCAATCTTCGCTACGAGGACGGAAATCATTTTCAAGTTGGTGTGTCTTCGCGACAAAAACGTGGAAACATGTATTTGCTGTTGACGAAGGGTTGAACAGAGTTTTGTAAGCTTTATTATTAATAATATGAGTTGCATCGATTTTTAAATAATTTCGATTTCCTTTATTATGTTTATCTATCATTTGTAATTTATACAAATATATATATATTCACTTAAGTCGAATGTATGACTGAAAGAGCATTGTATTCCAGTAACATAATTGTATGCATCCACACGGAAACGACTACCCATAAGATAAACTAAATAAAGATATAGAAACAATAAAGCAATTATAATATATTACAAAAAGAGCCATAAAATTGGACCAAAAAAGGAAATTTAACAATATCTAAATAACAAATGTTATAGATATGTATTGTTTTTGTAATATATACAACTAATGTTATATGCATCAAAGACCATATTAGGTTAATATTCATCGTTAAAAAATATTGTATATACTATCTTTTATTTTAATACAAACCCATAATATATCCAACAGTTAAATGTAAAAGTGTAAAATTATGTATAAAACTATATTTAATAGGATATATGTAAGGACTTATTAGAGGAATATATTTTAGGTATGGGACTTAGGACAAATTTTATAGTGGATATATTTTTATTGATATATGTTAATAAATGAATTAATAGATTACCATAATAACAAAACAATGAATGATCGTGTACATTCAAAAAAAGTCAATTTGAGTAACATATATTTTTGTTACACATTTTTTTTAGTTTATTACACAAATAATAATCGATATATATATATATATATATATATATATATATATATATATATATATATATATATATATATATTCTAATACTCCATGTCCATGTATATATATATATTTCGATATATATGTTTTTCCTTTACAATAATATCCACATTTACTATAATATACGTATTAGTTGGAAAACAATTATATATGTAAAAGAGACATTATTCACATTTACTCTAATTTAGGCATTAATATATGAGTCCGATTTTTTTGGTACATTTACTATAATTTAGGGATTATTACTATAATTAAGTAACCATTAACTATTATAACCAATATATGCTCAATTTTAAATGGGATATTAAATCTATTTTAATATAAAATTGCTATTATTTATTGAAAATTAGGTAATTATGTTTCATTAAATGGAATATGAGTATTTATTGCAAGAAAATATTTAGTACATTAAGTACTTTTCTAACATGCTTACAAAATATCAAAATCAACCATTAAATTAGCAACTAATTACTATAATTTTTAAACAATTAATTCTCATCATCTTTTATATATATATATATATATATATATATATATATATATATACACGATTTATTACAGTGGTTGTTTAAAGTACAGAAAAATAATATTCTCTCATCTAATCATCATTTAGCCATCGTTCTCTTTTTCTGAATATTGAGTATAATAGTATTCTTACAATCCGAGCAACGCAATACGGTACGTGAGATATTTTGTATTTAACTTTGTTTTTTTTTCATTTATTTTATAGTATTCGAGTATATTATTACTGAACGAGTACATGTAGTTGTTAATTATTTCTCACGTATTGCTATTAAATCAGATATATAGATCACGTTTTGTAATCATCTCTTCATCTTCTATTAGGCTCTCTAAATCACACATCTACCTTTAATTTTCTTCATATATTAATGCTATTACACGGTAGTCCAATTTATGTATATTGTGGAACGTTTATATAATTTTATTCGTATTTGTTTCAATGTATGTTTATGTTACGTATACAATTTTATTATATTTATTTACATATAAAAATTTGAAGGCGAGTATATCTTATTCATATAAGATCTATGTATTTATATGCATACCTCTTATAAATGATTTAACAATTTATATGAAAACATTGTTTTTATATGAATGTCACACAATTTGCTATGCATATGATTACAATCATATGCATCTTTTTTCCCCTTCTAAGACATAATATACATTTTTTTGGTGATGCAAATATTGATTATTTTTAATTATATTTATTATAAAGAGTTATACACACTTCTAATTGTGCAATTTAGTTTTCGTAGTTTTATGTGGATAGTATTTACATATGGACAATAAACGAAAGACGCCTTCTTCACCTGAAAAATCTATATTATACGATGTACATATTGGTAAGTTACATATTCGTGTTGTAAATGTAAATATTTTTGTTTGTATTATCGGTTTATTATTTTTATCTATAGTTGCAGATCTATCAGTAGAAACAATTATTAAAAGGGATGCAAGGCCATGGCCACAGGATTACATTCACAACACTATGTCTCCTGCTAATACGAACCAACGTAAATTATCAAAATATGTTATATATATATATATATATATATATATATATATATATATATATATATATATATATATATATATATATATATATATATATATATATATATATATATATATATATATATATATATATATATATATATATATATATATATATATATATATATAAATATATATATATATATATATATATATATATATATATATATATATATATATATATATATATATATATATATATATATATATATATATATATATATATATATATATATATATATATATATATATATATATATATATATATATATATATATATAAATATATATATATATATATTTATCCATACAAAGACATATATATATATATATAGATATATACACG